TAATGAAAGTTCAACAACTAGCTCGAACTCATCAGATGAAGGTGATGTAGACCTTTCCATTTGGAATGATAAAGATTCGGATATTGACTATTCATCATCCGATGATGATGAGGAGGACAATAAATTGATTAATAAAGAGAGAGAATGAGTGATTTTTGTTAGACTACTGTTACTGTTCGTTTGTTTTTCAACTATTCGATTTTTCATTCATTTATTATTATTGTACAGTCAATACACACCTTTTTTTGATTCTTTTTTCTCACACCCACTTGTCAATCACCAGATTTTTTCCATCTAACATATTCTTTTTTGTGTCATTTTTTTGTATTACAAATGTCAGATTATCGATATCGTATCATACTTCAATAAAGTCATTGCAAATAATAAAATACCTACTTTTTAAAAACAATTCTGTAAATAGGTATTTGGCGGTGCCCTCATATCATTGCACCTTTCTCAGATTTCAGTTTTCTCAGCGGTTATGAAAAAAAATTATCATATTAAACATCAGATATAATATGAACCAAAATTAGTTTATATCGTATTTAGTTTTTTCAAAACAAGTATTGTAATTTTTAATCTTAATTATAACAGGTTAGAAGAGCAGTAGTGCATAAAATAAGAAATAAAAGAGTATATGACTGCTACAAATATCATTTTGATTTTATTTAAAAATGACAACTAAATTCGAGCTTTCAATAAGTTACACTTTTATCATCGTCAGAAAACATACGGAAAATATATAAATATATGTACTGTAGATATATCAAACTTACATTACAACTAGAGGGACAAAGAACGAAAAAGAAAAATTATATGAACTATTCTAAGAACGAAGAAGAAACAATGAAATTGTTTGAACTATTCGCGAATACTTATTCGAAGAACATAACACCATCGGAAAAAATATGTTCAGAAGAGGACATGGGGCAATTAATCGAATAATGTGAGTTTGACGTCATTCAATGATTTGTTAATACAACGATCACAGTGTTATGTTTTACGGACAACTATTCACGAAAGTTCATACAATTTCATTGTTTCTTCTTCGTTCTTAGAATAGTTCATATAATTTTTCTTTTTCGTTGTTTGTCCTTCTAGTTGTAATGTAAGTTTGATATATATGTTGCAAATATTAAAATCTAGTGGAATTTAAAATTCTGCTAGTGGAAATTAAAATCAGCATATTCACAAACACGAAAACTCCCTTAACCGGCTTTCAAGCTCGAATTTTACTTTTCTGAAAAGCACACGATGTTTATGAACATCAGGCGAAGATTATGAACAGTGACTACGAATCCCAAAACCGCAATTTGTGATCCGAATTTGACCCGTAAACGTTTTCTGACCTGTACTCGAATTTATGGCTATATTTTGATCCGAAGGAGACTTTTGGATTCGCAGTCATTGTTCATAATCTTTACCTGATGTTCATAAACATCGAGCGTTTTGCAGAATACTAAAATTCTAGCTCTAAAGCCGGTTAATTGAGTTTTCGTGTTTGTGAGTATGCTGATTTTACTTTCCACTAGGAAAAAATAAAATATCAATTTCTCGTGCAACATACACTGTAAAGTTGGAAATTATTTATAGAAAATTCCCGGCGAATTTCAAAAAGTCCATATATAAAGTCGCCGAGGAATTTCTAGAATCTAGAAAATCGAATTTCCAAGAATCTGAAAAATCGCCGTCGATTTTCTACATTGTTGGAAATTCGATTTTCTAGATGCTAGAAATTCCTCGGTGAATTTCGCTCGAGAAATTCCACAGATGAGAAAGAGCGATCGTCTTATGAGATCGGGTTAAAGAGAAGCATGTCGCTCTCTATGTAAAGGTATCAAAGTACGAAGTCGGTGTCAAAATATAGTTTTGAGTCTTTATTACTCTCTAACTCTTCGATTAGCCAAGTGAGAGTTTTTTCTGGACAAGGTGTTTGTTCCAATTGAAATGCACACTTTTGTTTGATTCTGAATTAACGCGATCTTTTTTGCTATTTAAAACAACGCATGCAAATAAAATGGTGTCACCGACAAGTGGTTTCACACTACAACGTTATACAAACAAAAGAAATCCAATCTTATACAAACAAACGAAAAGCACCAAATAAAAACAATGACCACTTCTTCCTTCTCCTTTCTTATTTTTCTACTCTTTCCTCGACAACACACTACGGATCATATTCTATTCACTAGTTGTGATTTTTAGACTCGCAGTCATTGTTCATAATCTTCATCTGATGTCCATAGACATCGTGCACTTCTCACAAAACTAAAATTCGTGCTCTAAAGTCGAATAATTGAGTTTTCGTGTTTTGGGTGAATATGTTGATTCTAATTTCACTGGGAGAATTTTAAATTTTACTGGATTTTAATTTCTCCTGCAACCTATGCATATCCTTCTCATTTATTTTTCTGAGAGCGAGAGCGCGAGTGAGACAGAACCATATAGTCGATGAGACTGAAAATGTATGATAAATATGTTCAAATGAAACTATACTATTGTTTTGTGTCGTCATATGCGATGTTGTGAGGGGCTAGTCATCTGTTTATGTCGTTCCGCGAGATAGACAGACTCTAGACAAAAATTGATTCATAGCAATCAGTAGAAAAAGACTTGGCTACTACCTGAAGTATGAGAAAGAAAAGTAACTTTCTTTTAATGAAAATGACTCTTTCTGAGGGTGTCCCTTAAGAGATTCTTCTCAAAGAAGGGAGCAAAGAAATGCGCCACAACCGAATCAATGTAGATTGCCCGCTTCTTGGTTTCGGTCTGATTCTTCTTAACAAAGTTTTTAATTTTTTTAAATTCTCATTTTCCGAAATTTGCGCAGGACTGGAAAATGTGAATTTTATATTTTTGTCCCCATACTCAAAAGTATCTTTTAAGGAAGTTTGCCTAATTATTGTTCGGATTTACATTTGATTTACTTTCTTTTACTTTAGATTGATGCCTTGGTTGTATCAGATGATGTGAAATTAGGTTGTTATCCTAGTAAAACGAATGGTCTTTATTTAATTAATCATCAATGTCCTTCGAGATATACAAATGAATTTATTCAACGTAGGACTGCTTTCTTAAAGATTTATTCTATTGGTCGAAAGATTTTTTAGAGTCAAGTTCTAAGTGGAAAATGCTGATTTTACCCCTATGAACGTAAATTCTATGTAGTTCAATAAACTCTTTATAGTTGTTGAAGTCAAATCCCAGTACTATCATCATTTTAACATCCTCTCTGAAGAAAATAGCCTAAAACTTTTCTAGTAATATAGGAAATTAAACATTTCTTCTTGGATTATGTAAGGTAGTTAATTTAATTTTTTGATTATTGTTTAGAATGTACAAATCTTGACGATTTTAAAATATTGAAAAGTGACCATTATGGACTTGCAACAGTTACAAATTTGAATGCAATGAATAATACGATAAATCTGAATGAACAAGTCGAAAACAATGAAGCTGCCAACAATATCAGACCATCTGAAAATTATTTTAATTGTTATGATGATGACGATGATGATAATGAAAGTTCAACAACTAGCTCGAACTCATCAGATGAAGGTGATGTAGACCTTTCCATTTGGAATGATAAAGATTCGGATATTGACTATTCATCATCCGATGATGATGAGGAGGACAATAAATTGATTAATAAAGACGTTCCATTGTAAGTCATTTATTTTTAATTTTTAAAAGATAAATGATGTACTTATCTTTAATGTATAAAAATAAAACATCTCTTTATCTTTATTTCTTAAATAATAATGTTTTTTGCATTTATCTATACTTAATCGACTTTCGTTCGATAGTGAATTTTGGACGGAGCGAAGGACAAGTTTTAAACGGGAAGATTATTATCAAATAATTCAGTTTGGGATTTAAGAATAACTCTTTTTTTTGCTGCACATGAAAGTTACTATAGTTTTCCATATGAAATGCACACGATTTTCTGCTAATGTCTGACTTTTTTTGCCTTCAAATTTTTGAACTAACAAACAGTAAATATATTAGCTCGTTTTAACTTACTAATCAATAACGTTTTAAGTTTCTTTCTTTTTTTGAAAGATGAATAACTTGAAGGGTGAAGAAAGAAGAGTTGAAATATCAGTATGATTTTAAAACAGGGCAGCATATAGCGGGAAGTGTAAGTTCAGAAACTTAAAGAGTTTTTTCGAAAAAGCTAGAAACACTACCTCAGATGGGCTTGTAAAAAACAAAATTTACCTCTAGGCATGTTACCGTCCGATCAAACCGATGCTCGTCTAGACCACGACGATCTGTCGGTCCTTAGGCCGGGCGGCAACATATTCAGTTACCTCTAGAAAATGCGTCCTCAGCGCGCACGCAGAGGGAAAAATGACGAAAAATGACGAAAAAACTTTCCCAAAATTTTTTGCTCAAAAACTTTTTTTGCCTCTCGCGCCATACCCTCCTCCGAAAGTTGACTTACTATCTGCTGTCCCATGTTAAGGATCAGAAATTTACAAGACTCTAGACAAAAATTGATTCATAGCAATCAGTAGAAAAAGATTATCCTGTTTGTTGTATCTTAATGTTTGTAATTATGCTACAACTTCAGATATTTAATTCCTCTAGATTTAATCCATCGAATCAGAACCGTTATTTTGTAATAACTAATGAAAAGTAATTGAGAAAAATGAAATAGTTTAAACTGAAACATGAGAAGATGTCTCATCATAGCTAAAACATGATTTTTAATTCTTTCTTTTTGATTCTGAGTTACTGAACTTTTACATTTAAAATCAAATGAATTTGCCTTAAATTTTGTTATGAGGATTTCGCAAAAATTGAGTTAAAACTTTAAGAGGAAATTTTGGGCTTACATCAAGTAGTAGTTAGACGAAATAATGCTGTCAATAATGCAATTTTCAATTTTTATCTAAACATACAATCGCCTCTTATAACAGTTACGGTTTATATCAACAGAAAAAAAAATTTTCTTAAAATTACGGCACAAAAAAAAATCTCATCAATTGTTTTTCCTAAACAGACAGGCAACAAAATATCTTGCATCCCAAAACTCTAGTTGTACTATCTTTTGATAAATTAAGAGTAAAAAAATATTGAATATCAAGATATTTGTAACGCACAAGACGTTTGTAAATAACCACTTGTTCTTTTGTGTGTGGTTTGTCTGTATCAAAATTCTCGTTCAGCCCGTGAGTAACATACATAAATGTTTCGATGTCAACATATTCTAATTTTGGATCATATGCATACGATTCGTCTGTATAATCAAATTTTGCACGATCTTCCTTATTATTGTTATTAGTTGAATCATCTTGTTTCTAGAAAATAAAACACAACGATGGTTAAACATTAGAGAGTATATTTCGCAGTAACGGATGAACTTAACGTTTCGGGACAATTTCGTCTGGGAAATTTCTCCATGCTAATCAAGTTAGTACTTCTACAATAGATAGACTTCTCCAAAGATACTGTAGTTTCAACAAGTACTGTTTGTTAATCGTTCCGTCTCATATGTTTTATAAGAACACAGTGACCTTTTCTCTTTAATTCCTGAATCAATATCTGTGTCATCATCATTATTTTGTAATTCTGAATTATGAGATGCATAATCATGGTTAGAATCATTCCCGTTGCTCAACCATTCACTCACGTTTGTTTCAATATTAGCAATTTAGAATCCACAAAAGATTTTGATCTAAAAGAAAAACGAAAATAATGTCTGAGATTGTTGTAGTTCTAATTTGATCCGTTGAGTTTCTTCATCTTGACGTTTTATTTGATTATAGGCCACTTGTTTCTATTAAATATGAACGAGATGATAAATAAATATACATTATAAAATAGAGGACATTATCGTACCTGCGTTTCAACATCCATTATTTTTTGTGATAATAATTTATTTATTTTCACAATCTGTTTGTGCTTCACGCATTTTTAATGCTAATAATTCATGTTCAACTACATCATATTCTTGAGGTGTTAATGTCTGCTGTTGTTTATCAGATAATAATATTTTACATTTTTGTTCGTGTATCTATATATATATCATCAAATAGGCAAAATAGTCCATATATACTATTTTTTTTAGACATAATAATTCAACTTACTTGCCATTCTCTATTTAAATCAATTACTCTTTGTTTTAATTCATTCAAATTAACATTTGTTTCTGCATCACGCATTTTAACTAAAGTTAATTCTTCTTGTAATGAAGCTATTTCAATTTGAGGCGTTTCTTGTAATCGACGATTTTCCTATAAATATAAACAATAGTTATTTGTTAAATTTTTATGTTTTACTCATTTTTCTATTTTTTAATATTAAACTGACTAACATCATTCAATTTTTCATAAGAGTCTCGAATTGATTTCACTTGAAAATTCATTTCACTTTCTTTCGATCGATAATATTTTAATTGTTCTTCTAATTGATCTAATTTCGATGGATTTGATGTGGGTGACGATGGTAATGTTAAAAAATCGGATTGTTGATACTAAACAAATAAAAATGTCTTGATATTCAATATTTTTTTACTCTTAATTTATCAAAAGATAGTACAACTAGAGTTTTGGGATGCAAGATATTTTGTTGCCTGTCTGT